TTTGTGTAGACTAGAGAGGAAGTTTACATCAAGATGACAATTTTGAGTTTGACTGAGGTTAGAAAGGCATATGCACTGAGATTCTGACAGTAGTCAAGAAATTTCAGCTGCTTGTATAATTTTGTATATTTCTCATGAAAAGTTAATACAAACAGATTCTTGAATTTTAGAGAAAATCTTCCCTTTTTCTCTGAGCTCAACCTTGAAATTTCTTATATGTCAGTTTTACATAGCTTTTTTTTTTTTTTTTCTGAATTCGGTCCTCATATGTAGGGTATAAAGAAAGACTCATATTCTGTGTGAAAGGGAATCTACATTGCACCAGAGCCTCAAACCATATCTCATCTCTTGTCTTCATACAGCAACAGCTTCTACCCCTACAGTAAAGGAAAGCTGAAATATGCCCATATCTGTCAAAATGAATAGCTGAAATTAAGAAGACATTGTTTTCTGACCATATACTCACAGACCCTTATTTCCTGAAAAATGCAATTTTGATGCTGAATTCATTGTTCTATCTTGCATAGCTACAGAAATTATTAGTGGTCATAAATGATTCATTCCTTTTAAAAGTCCACTGACTTGGTGACAGCTAGAAGCAGTTTGTTCCTCAGGTTCACCATAGATAACACAGAAAAGTCTTTAGTGTTTTTAAACTTTGTAAAATTTGTGACAATATTATCTGAAAAAAAACTTTACCCATACACAGAATTGTGTGTGGTATTTGACTTGGTTTGAGAAAGAGGAGAAAGAAGCACATTATGTAGTGTATTATTACCTTTTAAACTTAACCTAAATTATGTGTCTAAGTTAACACCTATTTTCATATCTGCTTTCTACATGTGACCCTTTTGTTTTATTTAATGTTCATGTTTTAAACAGAAGGTGAGAGAAAGAAAGAAAGAAAGAGAAAGGAAAGGAAGGAAGGAAAAAATGTAATTTCCATTGTGAAAAGCCAGTGGTATCAAATACAGCTGTAGTTGGTGCTACATAGATTTAGCTCATATTTCCAAATTTTCTGTAGTATAGGTCTTATAAATCTTATATACAGTGAAAAAAAATTCCAATATATTAAACAATGTCTTACATTTATATAAATCACTACAGCTTTGTACACTATGCAGAGGACTAAGTATAAAGTATATTGGGGGTTGGAATAGGATCTCTAAGGATCTTCCAACCCAAACCATTTAATGATCCTCTGATTCTAGATGCTATAGTACACAGGTATTATTTGTGTGTGAGTAGCTTGGTATCTATTGATGAAAATCTGCATCTTAGATACGCTTAATAATTTTATGTGGACATTGAACAGGGAAGGATTTTACTGGACCATTATTTGCAGTCTTCTGCACTGAGGATGAACTGCATCATGTAATCCCATCCTTAACCTCATTATCTTTCATCATTAGACAATTAATTACTTTTTGCTCCTGCACTTCTTTCAGGAAGATCTTTCAAGGCTTTGTGCTGCTGATTGTAAGGAAACGTGGTTTTTTTTTATTTCATTTTTCCTAAATTAATTCAGGCCACTTTATTTCCCTCCCAACATTACCCTGTAGATAGTCCTCCAGTTCTTACCTCATGCTAACACAATTCATAGAGAGCAGCCACATTCCATCTGTGCTCCCATTTTTGTCTGTCCTCCCAAAATAGACTCTCAGTTCCTGACAAGGATGACTAGACCTTCCTTCCACCTGTCCTGGTCTGAGTTCAACTGTGCACAGAGCACTGTCTTCAGTTTACTGTTATCTTTTATAATGATATTAAAGCATCCCACTTTCTCTTGGAAATACTTTGCTTTTGCTGTGGGCTAGTATCATATTGTGTTTTATCAACACTCTGATGACTCATTGTAATGTTGTGATTAAATTCTGTGACCAGGTCTTCTGCTGGATCTGTCATTTCCAGCTGACCAGAACATTTTTTGTAAGGGTATTTATTAGTCACAGTACATTTAGTGAAGAAATATGTTGGCTATCATATTCAGGAATAAGTAGGTCCTACCTTATTTGGTAGCATATTTTTTCCAGTATGTCTCAGAAATTTATGTGTCCACACAACGATACAATTTCTGATAGCCATTTTCCTTCCAACAGAATATTAATGAGGTCCTCATCCAGGTTCAGATTTGATCCATGTGAGGCAATGGCAAACTTCTGACCTTAATTCATTTTAAAGCCCTTCATTTAAATTGATTTTGACCTTAAAAGCTATGGTTTTATCCATGTTACTACAGATTTTTATTTGCAGAAATGTTCTTTATTAAACTATGGCAGTATTCTACTCCTGATTTTATTCCTAGCTTTCAGAAGATTATCATATATTTCAATATCCACTTTCCAGTAATGAATGTTAGTCCACCAAGCCTTGTTAAGGCTGTACTGTCTAATTTCAAGTCCTCCCCTATTGGTTTCACTTCCTCTGGTTTGTAACCTTGCCACCTTTCATTGGTTTCCAAATAGCAAAGTTGTCTCTGTTACCTCACCCATTTCAACTCAATCTTTTATAATCCTTTCAGTAACTGAACTGTCTCCATGACTACTCCTGTATTCTCTGCTTATATTTTTCTCTTTGCTGCTTCTGCTGATATTTTTTTCCTTGTTTTTGCTGAACCTTTTCAACTGTTTTTCTTTTGCCTGTGTAGCAAAGTGGGATTTGGAGAGTTGAACACAACTTTTTTCCAGTTTCTTCTTTGGGTCTCTTAGCTTAAAGCTCTTCTGAATGGTGATGCTGGTTTGAATCTTACAAAATCAGTCTCTCAGGAGCTCTGGTAGAGGCTGTTTCCTGTGGGCATTTTCTCCAAATGCTACCCTGTATATTTATTTTATTATACTATTTTATTTAAGGTATATGTCGGACCTGAATTATAACATGATTGGGTTCTTTTTTTCCCTGTGGCAAAATTTGTAGAAATATTGTCACTTGCCATAAAGGGATGTAAACAATTTATTCCTCCCAGTTCAAGAAACAGCCCCTGTAGAGAGTGTACAAAGTCAAGTATCTTGAGTTGGCAGCAGAGCTATTCAATGTAAATCTCATGTAAACCACAAAGCCATTTTGGCTGCCACATCTCAGAAAGTGGCTTGTGGATGTAGTGTATTCACTGACAAATCTTCTCCTTCCTAACATCCTGATCCAAAGAAATGTCCCTATGGAAATACTTCTGGAGAGACACATGATCTTCAATTGGAAACCCTTTTCTTCTTTGGATGCCTGGCTTTCTGCCAGGAAAGGCCATTTCTTGATTAATCTGAAGGCACTATGTATTTGTCGTATTTCTGATTTCTCCAGATGCCTCTGACTGCTCATTCCAGCTGACTGGACAGCTGGCTTATTCTGAACAGAGCCAGGTAACGCTTCTTTGTGAAGCAGATGTCATTGAACACAGTGCATTCCATTAAGTCTGCCAGATATCTTCTGACAGTCAACAATTTTCTGTTTCATTTAAGGGGCTTGGGAGGGTATAAGGGATCCACCAATTTGAGAATACATTTGAAAGGAAATACAGTCGTGTTTAGTTTCATCCTCTAAACCCAGGCAAGTCTGCAGACAATTCTACAGTCACAACTATTTGGTTGTCAGCCCTCCAATTAATTAGTTGCAAGAAGTGTTGCTGGCTCCAGTAGATGCTAAATCTCTCCCAATGTTAGCAGTGGGCCATCAGCTTTTAGAAGAATTCTGGCACTTTATGATCACTGTTTACCCTCCACCTTTCATGTTTGGTTTGCTCATACAAGAACTTGTGCTTACATTTGAAAGTGCAACTATTGTCACTAAACACAGAGATTTTATTTCCTTATGTGCAAATTGCCAGAGCAGATGCGAGCTGAGAGTTTATATCGTGGATGAAATTTGCAGATTTTCACTTCTTATATATTTGAAAGTTTTGACAGCCAGAACACTGGAGAAAAAAAATTATTCTTGTACTTCTTTCTGTGGGAAAAAAAAAAAAAAGAAAAAAAAAAGAAAAAAAATTAAAAAAAAGAAAAAAAGAAAAAAAGTGGGGACTGAACATTTTCCACTGGTTTGTTTTCTGTCTTTGTTCCCATCTACTTATCCTCAGACATTTTCATGTGGCACTTTGGCAAATACAGGTGTATAATTCATGCTGATTCTTTTGTCTGCTTGAAAAAGGCTTCTCTCTTTGGAAAATTTGACCCTATCTATTCATGGACATTTTTGACAACTCTATGTATTTTTTTTTCCTGTTGTTTCAATAATCTCTTGGTTGGCCAAAGGGACACAGTGTTGACACTACATTGGCCAAAAAACCTCCTGCAGTTTCAATTGGCAGGGTTATTTTCCAATTCCTTCTCTTGATTACTGGGACATGCAGCTAACTTTATGCAGCTTCTTTGTTTCAGCCAAAAGATGGGAACATTTTGTGGAGAGAGGAAAGTGTGCCCTCTTTACATTCTGTTTATTTTACATTTGAGGTGCCTGTGAGGGAGGATGTTCTACATCACTTCTTAGTTTTAATAAGGAAGATGTCAGATTTTATTTAACTGAGCATTATTAAGTGAAAGGATACAAATGCTTCAACCCAAACATCTTTATACATATTTTCCAGCAACTTGCTTCACCACATCACTTTTTCAGAATCTGTAAATGTAACACACTTTAATTACACATAATGTGATGTAATGAAGAGCTTGTTAGTCTTCAGCACAAGTAAATAAAAGAAAGCAACTCAAAAACCTTGAATTTAATTTGTGTTTTTAACTTGCATGTTTTTCTGTGCATATCTTAACATCTACTGAGTGTTCCTCTCTTGCCTACTCCTATTTTTTTTCTGTGGTGCTTTTCCTGATGTACTCTGTGAGCTTGGAAATAAATAGGTAGAGGGGAGAGGAGGTAAACTGGGAAAAAAGAGTTCTTGTCTTGTATTTACCTACCACTTGCAGAGGTGGAGAGTGGCCCCTTTCTGATACAGTGTTTTAATTTATTTTTTAACCTGCTTTCACGTTTCTTTTTTTAATGGCTTATTCCTTCCAGCTGAAACACGGGAGGCAACAACTTTGATGTTCAGAGAAATCACTTGGCACTGAGAAATGACCAATGACTTGTTACAACAAGGACAGGTAAACCCTACTGGGGCATATCTATTGCCAAAAAAATGAATTTTGGATGATTAGACTATTTTTTTCCTTTTGTATACATTTTTGCAATTATATTTTTATGTATATTTTGTTAAAAGCTCAACGCTCTTCTCTTGTTTATCTTACCTTCTAAAAGATCTTCTTCACATTCTGGTCTCTAAATCTTGTAAAAATTGTCTCAGCATGACATAAATCTCACACATATAGAGTGTTCCTGTTAATGTTCAAAAAACGAAATGCAGTTAAGCAAGTCAAAGGTGGCTATCGAGCTACTTGCAGAGTAATAAATAAACTATGCTACTTTGGTACAGGAAGATTATTTTACCTACAAGAAGGGTAATGTGAATATTAGCTGAATTCTAGGATTGCTGAAGACCACTCATTCTCATTCATAAAAAAAAAAAACAGAAAACCCCTTTCATTCAATATCAAGCAGCTGAAATTGTTGACAGTAGATTCGTTTTAAGGTCAAAACAATGTATCTTTCTCCTCTCCTAGTTTTTAATGATGTCTGGGATTTCAAAGGAACCTATGGGATTTAGCAACAATTTTCCTTTAAAGGACACTTGGATTTGAAAGTCTAACTCTTCTAGGTTCTTTCAAAAATACAAGCTGTTATTAATAAACTATCCTCCAATGCCTGTAACATTACATCAGGCTTCAGCTTTTTTTAAGTCCAGGAGACCATATGGGTAGTTTATTCTCAACCACTTCTAGGAACTTCTAGCTATCTTACCAAATATTTAATAAAATTTGCTTAGGAGTGAGAGATCACTGGTAATTTGTCGTCTGTTCTAGGAATTCAGGCAAAGGGGGAGCACTCATTATTTACTGAACTGCTTTAATGAACTACTAAGCATCATAATGATAAGCTGATTTAACTGAGAAGGTGTTCTTATAAAAACAGATTACATTGATTTTAATATATCTATTTCCTCATATCTAAATGTTTTGAAAGAAAAGACCTACATCATAAGTAAATGTGAGTAATTTTATAATAATATTTTCCATAAGTAACTAGGAAATCATGATAGCTTTTGGAGATGTTCAAAGACATCTTCCTAATGGTAATGTACTAATACGAAACCATTATGAAATCCTATTTTACACCCCTCGTCCCATTTTTCTATGGGAAACTGCTTTTACCAGGACGTGTCTAGATTTATCGTGGAAAAAAAGTGAAAGTGTTTCCAAAAAATCTATTAAATAATTTTGCAGTTAAAACATGATTGACACAGTTTCAGGACTAATTCCTCAAGTGTATGCTTTACACTTTAAAGGGACGATTCTTGAAATAGTAACCTTTCAATTAAAGAGAAAAAAAAATCCTCACATTATTAGATTTCTTAGGTTAAGTCTCATGGACAGAAGTTGTGAATTCAGAGTCTCCTTCTGTATGATATTACTGTGATTGAGGCAATCATATTGTTGAGACAGGTCCTGCAAATGTTTCCTCACTGTGATTGCTACCAAATCCTAGCTGCCTGCTGCCTCCTAGAATAAACATATGGTAGGAAAGCTGCTGGTGGAAATTTTGTTTTATTTTCAGTGTAACAGGGTAACAATGGTAACAGTTGCCACTGTTCAAAGGGAAACGACTGATTCAAAACAAAACCTTAACCTGGCAACCTGTCAGAGGGAGACGAGCAGTGATGCCAGTCAAAACAGCAAAGGCTGTACTGTTCCTCCTCCCCTGGTCTTTCTCTTACTATGAAAGGCTGTATTATGTTTACAGTGTTTATTTTATCTCTGAACCTTTTGCTGATGCAGTTCCTGCTCTTAGGTGGAATACTTGAGGAAGTTGTCAGTCTGTTCTGTCTGTTGCTGTCGTTCCTGTGTTGCACTTCAGTGCCTGAAATTTTACTGCGTGTTACACAAAGCTTCTGCCTTGACTGGAGAAGCTGCTCCAAGAAAGGGCTGGGATGTACCTGTACTGTGTTGGGAATAGGTAAGAGAAGGAGCTGTGACAGCCAACGGCTGCAGGGTAAATTCTGGCCAGGCATCTGACAACTTCTGGCAGCATCTGGTGAGCCATCTGACAAACCCCTCTCATCCCCTCTAACATGCTGGGTCGAATGTGGATAGAGGGAGGCTTTGGTTGGGTCAGGGTGGGACTGCACACCAGGCAGATGAGTTCTTGAGTAAGGCTATTATAATCCAGCAGTTTGGGCTCTCAGATCCTGTACTGTGGCAGAAAGAAGACCCTGGAGCACCCCAGCTTTGAGGTGGAGAAGCAGCTGACCAATACTGTATCTCTGCAGCAACATGAAAATTAAACTTATCAATACCTCTTGTGTGGAAGGTCAGTCACCTTATGATGATATTACTTTCTGTGCATAGGTTGGATTAATGCTGTTACTTCCAAGGAGATGCTGAAGTGAAGCAGTCAGCTGCTGTCACCTGAACAGAATTCTGCATTGCAGTGTGCTCCTTATATCACTTCAGCAGTGACTATAGCCCAGAGAAAATTAAAAAGAGATGAGCATAAGTCAAATTGTCAGTCATTATCTCTTTGAAAATAAAGTCTTCCATGTTGGTAAGGGCAATAAACAAATGGATTGCCCAAAAAAGAATCACAGATACTATCTGCATTCATTGGAGCCAATAGTTCCCAAATAACCTTCTGAAGCCAGGAAGGAACTTAGCCAAAGTGCACCCAAAGGCCTGACCTTTGCCCAGCACCTCCCATACCTTGGTGAGTGACTTTAGCCAGGAATGAAGCAGAGAAACATTGGCATTTCCTCTGTCAAAATATTATTCTGCCCCCATGGATGTAGACAGGCTTTTCAAAATAGATTCAATTTTTATCTGCAAAACAACAAGAAAATTTCCTCACAAGAGGAAACTTTAAAATCAGCTACTCAGAAAAACAGCTTATTTGAACCAGACTATTTACAAATCCAAACAAATATGCTTGGCCAGAATACCAAGATGGAGGCAAATAAATATTTCTCCTGCAACTGCAGAGTTTTAGATTTAATATCCTTATGCCTCATTTAGTGAATTTTGGAGTTTCTTTTGCTGCTGCTGTTATCTTCTTGTCCAATGTGTTTGCTTGTTAGGGACTGACCATAAATTTGGATGGTCTGTGTAATGGAAGGGCATGAGGAAGATGCTAGATGTAACCATAGCTGTATCAGAGAGGAAAAGAGAATTGAAAAGTTAGTGTGGTGCCTCCCTGAAGTAGAAGCACAGCTTCCTGTGAAACTCTCTCTGTAAAGATGTCAGGGAATCGACCACTGGTGCAAGGCTACAGTCTGCAGTCCACATCTGTCTTTTGATAAAAACATTTCCCACTTTTCATTTCATAGACAAAGGACAGGGTCTGATATCACCTGATAATACAGGCTGAGAAAACCTTCAAGCCATTGCAGCCATACCAGTTTTTAGCAGGAAAGGAGTTGGTCATGAGTTACTTGATGTGGCAGGCCAAGACTGTGAGTGAAAGAGGGTATTTGCTGGAGAGCCAGCATCTCCTTCCTCCTTTTCTATTGCAGTCATTTTACTTATTCCATTTTCAGCTGAAAATTTTTCTTTGGAGCAAAGTAATGCTGTGGTTACTTTCCCTACCAGCCTTCTTGTATCCACACTAGGAGGGCCTGTCTCCTTGCTATAAAGACTTTTCCTAACATCTAATCTAAGTCTTCTCTCACACATGAAGCTAATTACTTCTTACCATCCTTTGATGGAAACAGGATATGTGATGACTTTAAAATTTTTAAAGTCAACATTGGCTGATGTTTATAATTCTGTCTTCAGTCTTCTGTTTTTTCCTGATAGGTCACATTTAATAATTTTCCCCTTGTTCTTTGTTCTCTGCAGGACTGTTTCCAGTTTACCACATCTTTCTTAAAATTGAGAGACCAAAATAGATGTAGCAGAGGCTTTACCAGTCATTAGTAGAGTGGATAATTTCCTTCCATGTTTTATGTAGAGCTTTATTTTTAATAAACACAGAATTATATTATTCTGTTTTGAAATGTTCATCTACAGTTGACTCATATTCAGTTGGTGATCCAACTTACCCACTTGTTTCTTTTCCAGACTTCCCTTTTCAATACTGTATATTTTAGTTTTTCTTTTATTGCAGAACCTTGAACTTCATAAAATTTCATCTGAGTGATTTCATTCCCCTCTCCCCACTAATTTATCACGCTTACTTTGGATCCTCACTTTCAATTTGCTTTCAGTCTCTTCCACTTCTGTCTTTGCCCAAATTTTAGGATTATTTCTTGTTCCACCAAGTTATTAATGACTTCAAATGTTCTGAGGCCTTCTCAAGCATAATCTAATTTGAAAATGAGACATTGGCCATCACTTTTTTCCATACAGTTATATACTTAGATTATAGCAATAATATCTAGATAATGTTTCACTAGTTCATTTAGTGAAGAAATCAGTTTTTAGAGAATATATATATATATATATATTTCTATATTTATTTCCCTGAATTTATCCTTTCTATTTTTTTTTCCTGGAATATAATTATTCTAAAATATTTAAAAATTGTTCTTTGCATTTCGCTCATTTGGTTTCTAAGCATTTTAAGCTTTCTGGATCAAATTCTTCAGCTGGTGGTTAATTGAGTTCAGCTATAACACAATTCCTTTTCTGGTGAATAAGACTCCTGGTTGGTGTTTGTTCTTTACACATTGACAAGCCAAGGGAACACTTTGTACAAAATGAAGTGTGTTGCTTCTAAAAGTATATGCCTGCCTGACACATTCTCTTTCCTGTGCTCTTTCAGTTAGGACTATACAGTTTTGTCTGGTTTACAATATTTTTTTAAATTGTGTTTCTTTCATCTGATGTTTTTTGCTCCTTACTTTCTTTTCCTTCAAGCCTAGCATTTGAACTACTTATTTTTAAAATGGCCACTGCAGATTGAAATGCTTAGATTTTCATATTTATCAAAATAGCTTCTGGATTTTCCTTGAATATGGGTGGGCTTAAAATGTTTATTTTTTTTTTAATTTTCCATT